GGCAGGGTCCAGCCCTGACGGACGAGCTTCAGAGCAGGGCAGGGTCCTGCCACGTGAGGCCGGCGGGGGTTCCCTTTCCGGAAGCGGCCAGCACCCCCACTGACCCTTCGCTGTGAAGGACCCAAGCGGGAAGATGCTTTGGGCCACGTCTGCTTCTGCTAATCCTGAGGTCAGACGGGCCGTCCGTGTCCCAGGCACCGGCTTTCTGACCCATAGTCCCCAGTCCCCACGCAGCCCAGGAACAGAGCAGGGGTTCTATCAGGAAAACACCCTCCGCGCCCAGCATGGGCCATAGGGAGGCCTGGGGTGCATCCTGTCTGCCCCGCCGCTCTGGCCACAGCAGAGGTGCCACCCACTTTTTCTAGCGTCTAGTGTGTGTCTCATGAAGTTTTATTCCAAGTCACGGGCAGGATGCCGGTCGGGACAGGGGGCTCTGGACCTGGGCTGTCACCGCTGGCCCCTCTGCCGACCCGTGTCCGAGTCAGGGGGCCCGCGTCGCCACCTCCACCTTCAGCGGCCGCCCTGGGCGCAGCCCCCACAGGCCTGAGAGCGTCACGGACGCTGGGGCCTGTGCCTCTAATCCAGGTGCACGTGAGAAGAGAAGCAGCCTGTGACATTCCTCCGGGGCGCCGGCCGGGCTCTTTGAGGGGCCTCATGCCTTCAGAAATGCCCAAATGTCCTTCAACAGACTCGACTGTCAAAGCCAGCCACTGTCGGGACCCTACCCCACCCCAACACGGTCATCTGGGGCTCTAACATCCCAGCCCTGAGAAGGGGGGGCTGGCACTCCCAGGAGCATCTGGGCACAAAGCCCGGACTCGGAGGACAGTTGTCCGTTAGAGTGAGCTGCGTATGAAGCAAGGGGTTCGTCCCGCGGGCAAGGCTCCACGGGTCCCCACGGAGGCAGAGCCCGGACATCCTGAGGAACACGTGTACAAGACTGTGCACAGCCACTCCTCCCTCCCTCCTCCCAGATCTGTGGCAAACACAAGCACACACACACCACACGTGTGTACGTGCCACATATATGCACACATGCATCGTGTGTGCCTCCATTCTTGTACACGTGTGTGCACATCATACACACACCGTGCACACACGTGTCCGTGCACACACACTCGACACACCGTGCACACACAGAGCCGGCATTTTCCAGACATTCGAGCACAAGTTTCATTGCACAGATGTCATCTCTCTGACACTCCTCAGTGTTCTCCGCTGTCTGGGGGAGGGGGCTTCACCTTCCTGACGCACGCCTCGGGGGAGAGGGGGCTGCAGACCCTTCCTGACGCACGCCTCGGGGGAGGGGGGGGTGCAGACCCTTCCTAACGCACGCCTCGGGGGAGAGGGGGGTGCAGACCCTTCCTAACACACGCCTCGGGGGAGAAGGGGCTGCAGACCCTTCCTAACGCACGCCTCGGGGGAGAAGGGGGTGCAGACCCTTCCTAACGCACGCCTCGGGGGAGAAGGGGGTGCAGACCCTTCCTAACGCACGCCTCGGGGGAGAGGGGGGTGCAGACCCTTCCTAACACACGCCTCGGGGGTGAGGGTAGGTCTCGGGTGTCCCAGGGCCAACGCTCAGTATCTGAGCACAAGGAGCCTTGCTTCCCGGGATTCTTGTAAACCTGACAATGTCCTGTGCCCGCCACAAACCCTGTGTGTCCTCACAGGTCAACCCAATGGTGACCACCGGGCAGTCTCTGTCTCTGTGCAGCCTGTCCGCCTGCTCCCGTAGCCGATAGGAACCGGAGACCCGACGCTGTGCTGTGAACACCTGTAGATGCAGAACCGTCAGACAAAATACAGTATTTTGCACTGTTTGCCCTTTGTGAGGCTGATTAATGGCATCCACGTGCGTCTCTCGTCCTCGATGGGGGCAGGCCCACCTCGGTGCGTGGCTCCAGCTTCTGCACAGGGGCCCGGGCGGGGCCGGGGAACCCAGAGAGGCTGCTCCACCCAGACACTCGGGCCCCCTGGCCCCCTAGCCCACCGGCAGAGCAGAGCACACCTCATCATTCAAACCAAAGAAATTCAGCGCTAAATATTAAACCTCGTGTGTTTTGGTATTGATTCAGCCTCCAGAGTCCACTTGGGACAGTGTGGTGACCCCATTGCCGCTGTGTGCCGTGTTTTCAGAGCATGTTTCCCCAGCATGCACGCCACACAGACACACTGCCGGGAGGATGTGGGCTGGAGGTCGGAGCCACACCATGTCTCTGGTGTTGTGGCAAGTCAGCTCCTTCCCTGGTGTGTGTGTGTGTGTGTGTGTGCACGCGCGCGCGTGCACATGTGTGTGTTGTCCGCTTGTGTGCACATGTTGTGTGCATGTGTACATGTGTGTGTTGTGTGTGCACATGTGTGTTGTCTGCGTGTGTATGTACATGTGTGTGTTGTGTGCATGTGCACACCTCCCATCCCACAAGCCTGGAGGCCCTTGCCTACTATAAACCTCCCTGTTCTGGGGGCCCTGAGGAAGGGAGCCAGTTCCCTCCACGGACCCTCCAGGCATGGTCAGGCTCCTGCCGCCTGAGTGCTGCAGAGGCTGGATGGAGAGTGTGTAGCAGCTCCTCATGCCGCCAGAGGGATGTGGTTGGACACCAGGAAGAACTTCCGTCCGAGAAGCCCTGGCTGCTGGAGGGCAGGCATGAGTCCTGGTGGACCCTCTGGTCTGCAGGGCTGCTCCCAGACACAGAGCAGAGAGGGTAGAGGCTGACACCCCCAAGATCCCCCACCGATGGCACAGGCAGGCAGGGTACATCCATGTCGCCCCCCCGCCCCGCCCAGGTTGTGCAGACCCCAGCCATGGGCTACAAGGCAAGTAATCAGGAGCAAAGAGCAGACTAGGGGAAAACCCACCGTGGTCCCTGTGTGTGGAAGGCCCCAGGGGCTTGCAGGTGCCCCGGGGGAGGGTGGGGTCCCAAGGACACTGACACCACAGGATTTGTACACATGGGTCCCCCCATACCAAACATGTCCCACTTTAGGGGGCAGAAGCGACCTCAGGCTGTTCCAAGATCCCCAGGTCTGGGGAGCAGCTCAGAACATGGCTGAGCAACAGCATGAGCCCGGAGAGTGAAGTGCGCCTCCCCGCGCCCCATGCAGACCTGGGCCACCTCCCAGTGCCGCGGTGGCCACACGTGGACGCAGAGCCAGCCCTGCACACAGGCACGATGGTTTTAGGGAACGCCGTGTGGAGCCTGCAGACACAGGAACTGCCACCGACACCTGGTTCAGAAGCCAGACCAATGGCATCCCACTAGGAGGATTCCTCACCCACATGAGCGTGGTGGGGACTTGGGGCGGCCCCCAGTAAGCCTGAGAGGACGGGGTCACAGCCTGGCTCAGCAGCTTGTCCAGGTGCGGGTACAGGATCTGTACCAGGCACCGCGGTGACAGCTACTCGGGGACCTCATGTGGCACCGAGGGCCACGCCAGATGCAGGGCTGGAAATTCATCTGCAAGGGTTTCTGTTTCATCCAGATGAATACCTCCACCCTGTAACCGGAGTCTGTGACGACAACACATTTGAAATAGCAAAACACCACTTCTCTGGAAGTCACTGTCTTCGTTCCCAGGGATTATGCATCTGAGAGGCCCTGCTGCTCTGCCCCTCGTGGAAGGTCGTGCACATCTGTGTCCTGGTGTGGAGCACGCTCATGGTTCTCATCTTAAGGGGTGGTGTCCTGCCGTGGGACAGCCTGGGACAAGACTCGCAGTCCACGTCTAGAGGGGACAGTCGCCTGGTGGCATGGGCTTCCTGTGTCCAGTGACGCCTTGTGTTGGGTGACAGTGGGGTAAGTGTCTGTGTCCTCTGTCTGTGAGGCTCGTGGTCTTGGTGTGGTGACTTGGATGACATTCATGTCCTGTGTGGGGTGGGGGTCAGTGCTCTAGACTGAGCTAGGGCAACACAGTGCCTCTGAGACACATCGTCCCTGCACCATGGGAGACGGTGGGGACTCAGGTCTGGGTCACGGTGTGTTGAGTGGTAGGTGCCTGAGTCGCCACCGGCCGGGTATTTGTAGGCTGCATCGTGGGGGGCATACTCAGTATGCACTATTGTAAACCAGTGTTCCATCAGTGCACGGGACAGGAACTCGGGCACAATGCTGGTCCAGGGTCAGGGTCCCTGCTCTGACACGGGTGAGCTGCAGGCCCAAGCCCTGCACCAGGGGTCTGGAGCCTCAGGAGGACTGTTGGTTTGTCCCCAAGCAGGTATGTCCCGGGGGGTCAGTGTGGAGAGATGGTGTGCCCTCCACACAGCACCGGAGAGCCTGCCCCACCTCCCCAGCTGCCCGTGGGGATGGGAACCAGGCAGGGCTCAGGGCTCCAGGACACAGTTTGGCTCCCCCATACCCCAGCCCTTCTGGTCCATCCGCACCTCCAGCACCGGCTTCTCCATTTGACCTCAGCATGTCCAGAGGCCCGAACAAAACTCCACGGAGCCGTATACCTTCCCCTCAGTGAGGAAGAGTGCACGCTCTGCGCACTCGAAACTCAGACTTTAGAAGCAAATGCAGAAACTAATCTTCCTGATGCCAAGTTCAATTTAGTCCAAATTTAACCAGATTGAAAATTATCTAATAAGATTAAGAAAAAATCAGTTTCTGCACAATGTGTAGCCCTCCTATTTCTGTAATAGGAGGGCTCTGCAGACACCTTGGCAACTTGCCACAGGCCCCTGAATGCACTCAGGATTCTCTTGTGCTTGGAGGAGGCAGGAGGCTGCAGAGCCCAGAGCCAACCATGCCCTGGTTCTGCACACCCCTGGACCCGGGGAGCCGGTGAGGACAGTGCCCTGGCGTCTAGCCGTGTCCTCCAGGGATGCCCCCATCCTCTGCCCCAGCTTCCTGCTCCAAGTGTGCAAGTCCTTCCCGACTCTCCCCACGCTGTGTCTTCCT